CTGTATAAACGATATTAGTAAGAATGAATGCACATAGCAGGAATAATTTATTTATTTATCTATAAAAAAATAATCATATGATCTCACTTCTTTCCATTTTTCTCTATTCCAGAAGTGTCCAAAACCGAGCAAAATATGCCACCAAACACCAACACAGTGCCGACACCAACACTAACACTACCGGCAACTAAATATGGCTTTGATGAAACTATGTCAATGGCATCAACAAAATCGCCAATAGCCACAACGAAATTCGATGAACCAACATCGCAACAGGAAGAGCAACTCAACGGCTTGCATGGCTTAGTCGATAGCATTTTGGAAATATTGCCGCAGGATCAAATTCTGGCAACATTCTTTGATAAACTCGAAACGGATGAGAATTTTAGAAAATTTGTGAACAACATACAACGGCCAGCATTCGCGCAATACTCAGCAAAATGGAGGTGAGTGGTGTGTGTGTGTGTGTATAGAATAGGCAAATAAATATATAAGTTAATTTTTGAAGAGAAAAAGTATCAAAAAATCAGGTGTCAGTAGCTGCAGCATCAAAGTGAGGTAAGACAAATTTTGTTTGAGATCAGAGAGGACGAAATACAAAGTAGCCGAGGTATGTTACTGACAGAGGACAACGGAATACCAGTAAAACGCTTTGCCTTTTTATCGGTAGGGAATTCTTAAAGCCACTTGCTGGCTTAAAAATGTGTGAGCTTATAAAATACTGAGTAGGGCGAGAGTATTTTCCAAGGCGCCAGTCAAGCTGCACTCGAGGTAGTGGCCAAACTAAATAATGAACTCTGAGAGGCTGATAATGAGACATCTGACTAAGTAATTGGCTAGAGAGCTTTAGCACTTCCATCTTCAGTCATCGAAGCTAGCGTCAGAAATTGGACAAATGTTTCCGATGGTAAAGACGGGAGAGCAACACGACGCTGTAGTTTGGCAGAACCTAGGTTTCTCTCAATTTCAGTGGATCCAGCTCTTTGCATAGAGAAAGATATGACCTGTAGAAACAAGACGATTGCTTATATGAAATGTTTCTGGGCTAAGGGGAAAAACCGGTGAAAAACGAAGAAAGTAGATATTCTTTATTGATTTTATGTGAAAATTCTTATTGGCTTTAAAAACCACTGGGAAAATTTGCTTGATTACATCATTTCTCTCTTGAATTCATTGAAACGTACCTTAATTTTGTATCGGTAACGTGACCACCGCGGCCAAGTAGGTAGAGCTGTAAACTGCCATTCCTTAGGAAACGTGTTCGAGGACAGATCAGCGTAGACTTTTTTTATCTTTAACCGACTTTAAAAAAGGAGAAGATTCTCAATTCGTCGGAATATTTTTAATTTTTTGTATGTACATATGTAGTATATTACCAGATAACTTTGGATCACGTAAACCGATTTCTAGAATTTTGTTTTAGGGAAAGGTGTTACCTCTGGGGTGGTCCCATACTAATTTGGTTTGGATCCGCACATTCTTAATTCCATCTAAGAGATAATCCCCCTAAAAATAAGGGGGCTTGATTATTATTATTAATATTTTTCCTTTCATTGACCAGATGGGACTACAGGCAGCTTGTGTTATTGCTGACTGGTGGCCCCAAACATCTGACAGTGATTGGCATATTTAGCAAAATCCATTTGCCCTTTCTTCCCTGTCTCGTCTTAACGAAGATCAGGTATATCTAAAGCTTCCGAGAGGGAAGTACTGTGAGAAAAATAGGCAAGTTATTTGATTTATAGACTTAAAACAAATTCAAAGGAAGATGTTAACATTAAAATGAATGGTATGAGACTAAGCGAATTTGTATAAAGTTATAACAGAACTACAAAACCAAAACTTAATCTAAGACATTATACGTCTAATTACAGTAAGCATTATAACAAACACACTATTAGGACATTTAGAGCCCCCGAGGTGAAAATCCAGTTGTCCTTATATAAATTCGCCTTGGTATGAGGTCCGAGCGCTTTTTCTTCAACGTTTCTTTATGTTCGAAAGAAAAGCAGCAATGTGACACGTCATTTCGCAATGGGGAATTCAAAGAACACTTACACCAATTTGGTCAATGAAATTGATCTTATTTAAATATTATACTTACCGCCTCCTTCCCACGTCATCGCGTACCAATTGATTTAACTACTGTTCCTAAAATTTCGACGCATAATATAGACATAGTTTCGTCGTTGTCACGTACTCAATATGCCATAATAATAACATAGAAAATTGTCACTATTAGAGCGGTTGGAGACAAGTTTTAGAGGCATACTTTTAGGCGCAGTAGTTAAATCAATTGATATGCGACGAGTCTTATCATTGGCCTAAAGACTTTCTCTGTAGGCAACTAAAATGGAAAGCTCTGGTGCTCGAAACAAAATCACCAACTTTACTAAATGCCAACAACACATTT